GGGGGTACGGGAAGATACCTTGCCGCAATGCGGAAATTATTGTTGTTTGTTTTTGGAAGGTTTGATGTTTGCCGTTTAGTAATCCCCACGTGCACTTCACCAACGCATCAAGAGCCCTGAAAATCGCGAAGGCTCCGGGTGGGGATACGTCCAGCACTACCATGTCTTCGTCAACACGCGCTAAGCCGCGTAGCTAGTGAAGACCAAGTACAGAAGAAGGGACCGCAATTTTCGTTCAGTTCGTGAGGGGAAGAAAAACAATCAATGCTTCTTGTTCTTGACTTTCTTCAGACCCCATGGCAAAGCAATATACTGATACGCACGACCTGGCGCGAGAGCACGCGGGCGGGGACCGGCAATAACTTCATGCCAGCTATCGGAGTGAGGTCCTGTTCACCGAACGATGAGAGCAGCATGGGCATGGCCGCACAACACAGGGATGTCCGCTTGGAAAAATAGAATGAATACTTGTGGGACTCCTCTTATTCAAATGACACGCTACATTCTGGTAACAACACGCTGCAGCCCCCTCGGAAGCATCACCTTTGTTCGGCCGCCGACCATGTCACCGATGCCGCCAGACTTGTCTCGGAGACCCACGAACTGCTCCATCATTCGGCTGGGTCGAATGAACCAGGGCGCAAGGGATACCGGTGGGGGACTTGTTTGCCACAGAACAACAAGTCGATACCCTGCAGAAAAAAGGTGCTTCTAACATGGAGTAAATCACCGTCATTCTTGACTGCGGATAGTGTTGTTGGTGCACATACGCGGAAAAAAATACATTTTTTGTCTCGAAATACTCCCACTCGCGGAACCGATTTCTTCCAATTTCGATTCCCCCAAAGGTAAACAGCGCCACCGTCCAATCCGGGTCCACGTCCGCTAGGCAATTTTCGCAAACCGTGAAATCGTCCTTAGTCGCATACCGTCCCAACTTCATCGCTGAGAGGGTCGAAGCGATGCTACGCAAAGAGACGTGCTCCAGAAGTCTATTTCTCACGTTGTGAGCGACACCGGTTGGAGAAATCGCCCCTCTTCCAACCCGCCAAGGAAAAGCGCCACCATCCACTGGAAAACCGGCATGTGCCTATGAGCCACGGGTCCCGGGAAGTCCCTCAGGAGAGGTATCTCGGCCTTGTTATTCAAGTTGATTCAACAGCAGTTGCGCATGTTAAACTCAGTTGCCATTGCCCGCTGAACTCTGGCTTGTGCGGGCAGGCACCCGGTGCTACAGTAGTCATGAATCCCTCGCTAAACAGTGTTGCCTGCTCCATTTGTGGGCATGGTATTTGAGAAACTTACCGCTCTCGTTGTCTCTCATGAAGGAGGATGTTGGTGACATCAACCCGCTGACCAATATCACTGACTGTTAAAGTACCAGGCGTGGGATCAATTCAGCAATGCTTGCTCGAGACTTGTTCAGCGGGAAAGTGGGTATTGCTGTTGTAGGTTCGGAGAATTGGGGGAGAAATTACTGCAAAGACATCGGTGGGCAACCACATTTGTTTGCAGGTAATCACGAGCGGTGTGGCAGGCATCATTTGTTTGCCCACTCGGGGACAAAGTATACGTGAAATTCGAACCTTGCTCGAACAACTACAACTGTGACCGTGTTTCTTGACACCAGTGTGGACCACACAGCCTCTAGGAAAAAAGAGCAGGTAACAGTATTGCTCCAAGTTGCATTGGCAAATCGTATGTGCCATACTCCACAGCACCCCTCCAATTTGTTGCTACTTGATGTCCTTCAAGCCCTGCCCAGCTTGTTGTGTCGTGTCTACGAGTGTGCCTACCTCGGTGATGAGACCACATAGATGCAAGCGCTCAAGGCCGGGATCCGTGCAGAAGCAGGCGTGTTTCCTTGAGCAGCCGGCATAGTACAGGATTTGCCAGAGTCTTGTGTACCTTGGAGTGTATATTCGCGTTCGTTTTAAGGGTAGCTCTTTTAGAGACGTGTCAGTTCCATCGACTTGGCCGTGACGTCAATTTCGCGCCTCGCGTCACGGGATTGGCTGTTGCAGCCTCCCGACTCGTTTTGCTGCGACTGCGCGTGCCACTTGCCCGACGAAAGGAAAAACAACAGTGCTTCTCTCGATAGCCGCCCTTGATTGCGCGTGGTGTGCCGGTGAGGCTTATTTGTACCTGGCTTTGGCACCATTACAGTCACCAGGTGTATCAGCCAGGCTTGGGTTATCTACCTCAGCACAGTTTGATACCCCCGACTGTATGTTGTGACACTGCTCACCCTCAACCCAAAACATCGCCGAATTTCTTTCTCTAACTCTTTCCCCGCTCCCCCGGCCTTTCCCCCTCCCTCGGTATTTGCCATCGGGATTGGGTTTCGTCGCTTGGCAACGACGTTGTAAAACAAGCCAATTCACTTCGTGAACTCGGCAAACAGGTTACCGTTTTTTTTTTTTACCTCTTTTTGTTTTTGGCGGTAACCATAATGGTGGTCGAGTAGATCATGTTGTGCGGGGTCGAGAACCCTCACTCCGCGCAAGGGGGATGATCGCACCACCTTGTATTAAAATGGTCAAGCACCCTCGAGGCAGTTACACAGTGCTTACAACTGTCTCTGGAAGTGAAAGCACCAGAAAATAAATTAAGTCATACGCAGCTGTCATCCGTACGCAAGGAAGTAAGCACAAGATGCCGAACACCCTTAGCAGGATGCAGCGCACCCTTCATGCGACTCGCCGAATATCTCACGGCGCTTCGCGCTTGGTGATGTGAGAGCCTGGTCCGGTGAGAACCCGGCATGCTCCGTCCCGGCTATTTGGGAATGCGAGGTCAATGGTCTAACGACTACGGCATGCACGACTTTGAGTATACTCCCCCTCCCCGCCCCCGGTGTTTCCATCGGGGTTGGGTTTTCGTCGCTTGGGAACGACGTTGTAAAACAAGCC